CCCTTCTTAATTGGTCATTTTCTGTCGACTTGCTAATAAACCACTACTGTTTTATGTTTCAGTTGCTCGATTATCGGACAACACTGTATTCTCCCTGAAACTAATACCCACAGCACCTTCTCTATTCACCTTATCAAAACTGAACCCTCAGAGGAACAATATCCGCTGTGTGAGTCAAGGTATTATACGTCTGTTTTCCTATTTTTCCCTCGTTCAGTTTTACAAATGCCAACGCATGTTCCTTAATTTTCACAATTGGTTCTTTCACAAGCTACGCCAAGGTACAACAGCAGTATTTTGGAGGATATGTTAATTGAGGATAATTCGGAATTCATTAAGAAAACTTTTGCGGGACACAAGGAACTGAGGAAGGCTCTGTTACTATTGAAAGTATGATAAGCACTATAGTGCATGATTTTTATTCTTGTTATCTTGTGCCTTTATTTTTCCTTCTAGCAAGGAAATTGATATATGGTGTGATGATTAGGTTTGGGCTCGCAAAAATTTTCTATTTGTTCATGACTGCCTAAGCGGATTCCTGATCACTGCCATTGTTGCTTACCTTGCATCAAAGTCTGGTAAAAACCGAATCAACAGTTCGATGAATGCCGTGCAGATTTTGCGCATCACAATGGATTTCATTGGTACGTTTATTTCATTACATCTGTTCTTCAGGATAAGTATTTGAGGCGCAGCTTCTTATTTCATTGGAGTCGTTGATTGCTAGATAATTTTGTTCACTGTCATCGATATTGTAATCTCCAACATTTCTGATTTGGCATGCCCATAACAGATTTTGCAGCGAGTTATGTCTAGATCATGATTCATAATTTTGCTATATTTATGATTCCTGAAATGTTATAAGCACATTTTTATTTTACATCTTTAGTTACTTTTAAACCAGAATTGAAAATAATTCGGGCTAATAACTATGTTGTATTGCCCACTGAATCCAGTAACGATAGACTTGGTGAGTATTTTGAGATGTTTCTTCTTTGAAAAACTTATATTCATGAATAATTAAGTTTAGAGAGGCAGACAAGTGAGAAAGTAAATATAAGTGGTTCGTGCTTGGAATATTCCTCATAATGCTTATCTCTACCAGTGTTTTCTTTCTCATAGTGGTTAACTCTACCAGTGTTCTGTTTTTTAATGTCAATGTTCTTTTGTAGCCAATTCTAAGGCATGGGACAGTGGACTATTCTTTCAACCTGAAGGCGAGAGAAGTATTTCAAATAAGGTAAATTCCTGTGTTACTTTGTAACCTATGTTTATTTATGTATTGAGTCTTATTTTGTGATCTTGAGTTGACATCCCTAGGGATACAGAACATTTAGCATGTTCAAGTGGCTTGTCCTTAAAATTTCCGTCTCTTGAGTAGTAATAAATAGTTATCGTTGTTAAAATTCTTTTATCGTTAGAGTTGGTTAATAAATACTGAATATTGGGTTTATTTGTTGATATATTCAGTTCATTGGATGCTCTGTAACTGTAAGCCATTACTGTGTTTATTTTTTTGGCTAATTTAATATTTATATGTAGCTTTTTAATTGCAGGAGAAGAAAACCCAGTTGCAGTCATTTCCAATAATCATCTGTGATTCACATGTGAACTATAATATGGCATTTCGGATGTCAACTGGTGGTTTCCAAGAGGTAAGATATTTGAATTTTGCTTCTTTCATGATGATGATTACATATCTATGTATGTCATCTTTTGGACTGACCAATATATGTGCGGATATGAAATTGGATGATCCTGTATTCAGCTTCGTGATGAGGCTGCTCTAGCCCTTGCTTGCATGGATAAATGTGAAAGTGGTGGTTTTGATGAGATCTTTATGACGAAGATAGATTATCCTGCCAAATATGACTGTTGCATTAGGTACATCATAACGAATAACATATGTACTCATATGTATATTATATCTTTATATAAATTTTAACTGAAAACTTTATGAACACCAAGTTGTTTGCTTCTTGTCTCACAATTTCTCCTTTTAGATTGGACTTGAAGGACAACCAAGATTTCCGCATTTCTGGATTTTGCTTGGATGATGAATGTTGGAGGTCTTACGAGCAGAAGGTGCTTGGGGTCATTGATGAGGCGTTGAAAGGGAGAAGTAAGCTTATTAGAGTAATCTGGAGAAACACCTCTGGTGAATGTAATTTTGAAAATGTATGATACTCACCCTGATAGTTCTTATATGGTATTTTATTTACAGTATGCTGGTATGATATTTAGCTTTAACATGGTATAAATTTTCTGCAATGTTTAGGGTCTATCGACACTAAATGGAGAATCTATTTTTATTGGAATAGTGATTGGATCTGTGGAAGAAGCGTTCAAACAGGCAATCGTTGGCCCTAGTCCTGAAGACAAAGATAAGGTTGTTTATTTATTTATTTTCACTTCATTTTTTTATTATTTTTCTTTTTTTCCCTTTTAAAGAAAAGCATCTGTCGATGTTGATTCTCTCATTGGATTCATATATTGTGACAGGCTGTGGAATTTAGAAAGTTCTGGGGAGATAAAGCTACACTAAGATGGTTCCGTGACGGTAAAATTGCTGAAGTTGCAGGTCAGGATCCATTAGCATCTCTTGTTGCTGTGTGGCACTAATGAATTAAATGATTCAACCTCATACTTTGCCTTTGTTGATATAGTTTGGGAGCATGATGAATGGGAAAAACATCTTATTATAAAGGAAATAGCTGAGCATGTCCTAATACGCCATTTATCTCTTCCGAAACAGAGCATTGTTCCCGTTGTAGATCAACTTGATTTTGTTCTTTGCTATGGGAATAGAGGTAAGCATATCATGTTCTTGGTTATTCTGTTATATGTTTTTAAAAGTTGTGGACCAACTAAAAATTACTGGTAACGAATTTATGTGTTTCAGATCCAATATCCTTTTCCAAAAATTTGTTGAAGGCATATGAGGAACTGTCTAAGCTTCTACGACTTCTTGATGACATTCCTTTGAAGATATCCAGCGTGCAGCCTCTGGATTCAGGTTTCTGTTTTAAATGGATTTCCTCACTCCCAGACCCCACAATAACATGCTTTGGCCGCTAATATGAAGTCTATTATATATTATCTTTTAAATTTACATTTGGAGCTGAAGTATTTACCTGAAATAAAGCTATGTCGCAAGGTTCTCCATAAAATTCTTTATAACCATGTATAATGGAGACAAACAGAAAATGGGATCTGCTAATATCGGTAGATCTCTCATTAGATTGATATTTAGACTGTACTTCAAGTTGGTGTTTTATTCTGCACCATCTCCAGATACACCCTGCTGCCAAGGTCTTGTCAGAGTTCCGATTGGCCTGTATTTATCTACCTTAGCAATGTTGAGGCAAGAAATGGTTCTAGGATAGCAGTAGACATATTCATTCTCATATTTTCCAACTTTTCTGTTTTAGTTTGATTCTTTCCCCATGATTTTTTATGTCTTCTCCTTCTCAGGGGTTTCTTTGATTGATATCTATTTTTTAAACAATACCCCTTGTCATTTTTATCATCGGAACAACCCTCATTATCATATATTGTAATTAATAAATCTTCGCAAAGATGAATGTTATAAGGATTGAGAAGATGATGCATGCATTTTATGTTACAGCTTTTTTTATCAAATTGTTTGAGTTTATTGTCTTGATCTAATCATAATGAACTGATATTTGTGATTGGATTATAGTGAAACAG